TCCTGCCGAGGCCCCATGGTCCTGGAGCCTCAGTAAAGTGTCCCTTTGGTTGACTGGGGGAAAAAAAAGGTAGACAATAACAAGAATTAGGAAGAAAGCAGAAAGGCCAGAACCCTCATACATTGCTGCTAGGAGTGTAAAATGGCGAACCATTTTGGGAAACAGTTTAGGAGTTCCTCAAATAGCTAATCATAGTTATCAGTATGACCAGCAACTCTACTTCTAGGCAAATATCCATTAGAAATGAAAATATACACCCACACAAAATCATGTACATGAATGTTCTGAACAGCATTATTCATAGCAGCTTAAAAGTAGAAAAAAAATCGATGTCCATCCATTGATGAATAAAGAAAATGTGGTACACCCATCTCAGAATATTATTGTCATAAAAAAGTAATGAAGTGCTAACAAATACATGCAACAATATGGAAGAACCTTGAAAGAAATTAATGGCAACTTGAAATAATACACAAAAGGCCATATAGTGTATTATTCCATTTAGATGAAACGTCCAGATTAGGCAAATCTGTACAGGCAGAAAGATTAGTGGTTGCTAGAGCTGGGGGTGGAAAAAAGAGAGGTGAATATAGAAAGTGAGAATGGGTACAGGGTTTCTTTTTAGGGTAATTAAAATGCTCTGGAAATTGGTAATGATGATCACTGCACAATTCTGTGAATATATTAAAAACCGCTAAATTGTGGTTTTTAAAGTTATTTTACTTTAAAAGGGTGAAGTGTCTAATATGTGAATTACATCTCAATAAAACTATTACCTAAAAAAGAAAACCACAAGGTAACACTTCACACACTCAGTAGAATGGCTATAACAAAAAGACAGAAAACAGACCTATGGAGACATTAGACATGTGTAATCTCACACTCTGAACCATCTTAAACATTTATAAAATTTGGACTTTTTGACAAAGATGCACTTTGAGCTCTGAGCTGATGCTGCCTGCCAGTTAATATCACAATCTTTGTATAGCAGATTAGATGATTGTTGGATTTTATATTTCGTTCCCTCTTATTTTGCAGGAAAACAGAAAATCACAATGCGAAAACTAGTGTTAAGAAACGTAGACCTCATAAACTTAATTAATACAAAGACAGAAATAATCATTAGCCTCAATGAAATGCTCAGTCAACCGTACGTTCTATTATAAGTCAACTTTAAGTCAGTCAATTGTATGTTCTACTACAAAAGAACAAAAATAAAGAACATCAGTGAGATACTAGAAGTGTATCATCAAAACTATGTAAAGCCTATATGATTAAAAATAATTTTATGTTTTAAATATTTTAATAATATTTTTAACTCTCTGGGTAAGAATCTTCCTTAAAACATTGTTTTAAAACATTTATTGTTCAGTTCCTTCATATTCAGCTGTCTCAAGTGTTGATGGGAACATATTACATACAAAACCAAGAGTGTCTCTCCAGGTATAGACAGGGCTAGTGGCCATAAAACTGGCCAAGCATAGGAAGTCAGGTCTAGGAGACAATCACAAGTCACCGGAAAGACCAACATGCAAGCCAGAGGCATAAAACAGTCAGTACATAGATCCAAATATGAAAGACTGAGTAAGTGGTGGCCCTCTTCATTAATAGAATAGTTATAAAAATAGGAATCAAAATTCAACCTATTGAATATGCTTAAAGAGTAAGAAGAATATGAACCTAAAGTAGAAGGGAGTATAGAAAAATGAAAGTAATATATTGGAATATCATGTAAGTATGGGTTGATCATTTCCATATGATACCTATTTAAAGTATTTTAGAAATAATTTAAGTAACCAGACAGTTGACCATGAACTGTCCTGACCTGTTCCATTACACAATCATCTAAGTCCCAGAACTCATGTTGTCTCGTTAATCCCAGATCTAATTCCCCATCTTTGACTCATTAGCTATATTTCAATACAAGTAAACTGAACAGTGTGGCATAAATAGCAAGTGGTATGTAAATATTAGGAACTGAAATGCTACATTGCACAATTCCAGGAAGTACCATTCACATAACATATACTAAAAATAGTGCGCCGTGGAGTTCTGCAACATGGTAGCCCATATCCACTGTCCCTTATCAGTATTTACATTCTTCTACTGCCTACATTTAATCTGAAATCATCCCAGCCCACACTTTTTAATTTATGTATTTTTATCTGTGTCAGTTTGCTACGGTGTATTTGCCTAGACACACTCAAAACTTGCTGTCATTCTCTCAACCTTTTGTTATAACTTCTATTTGATTTCAACTTTTGTTTACCTTCCCTGCTTTTAAAACAACTTCTTATAAAACCCTTGAATTCTCTACTTTTGTGTATATTATCTCAGTATAAAAATAAATATGTATTGTATCTATAAGTAATTTTTAAATAATTTAAAATAAAATAATTCTGAGAAGAACACTTTTTTATCATTCACTCTTGGATGGCAATTTTGGAAGACTCTACATTTATGGAAGAACTGGCTAGGGAGAGCGTAGCATAGTAAAAGAGTAATCTTCCCTTCTAATAACATGTATTCTCCACATTTAGCATATTTTTCTTATCATTGTGAGAGAATAAGTGAAATTTTATAACTGTAGTTGTGAATGTTTTGGGCCATTGCTTGCCACCAATAACGTCGAGAAGGACTGTAAAAAGGAAAGGAGAGGAAAATGCTACTCAAAAATGTGTCTGCAATACCAACTCTAAATACTGTATTTTTCAAAGTTTATAGGCAAGGAAAGTCTTTAAATAACCATGAAAGCCACACAAAAATGCTTAAGATTTTAAAACTGACTTAAGATTCAAACTTTAAAATGGTATAAAATTTATATTTTAGAATCAATAGGATGTTTCCAATTTTCCTGGCCTGATGTTTCACCTTTTCAGTTCTGTATCTGAGTACTCAGTATGAAGGCTCAAATGGGTAACACTATTGAATGGTGTTTGACTGACAATACTGAGGCTATGATAAATATCACATGATAAATATTTACTCGCCCAAAGATTTTTGGGGGAAGACATTTACTCTTCTTTTTATAGAAAATCATCCCTTATCCTTTCCAAGAATTGCCTCTATCATATATTCTGAATATCTTGCTCCTATTTCACCATGATTTTAAATCCTCAGTTTCCTACTTATAACTGTTCAAGTAACAATTCATGTAGTGATTTCATATTTTTAAGTTGTCATTATCTGTCCTTCCTCCTGTTTCTTGACTTTAGAAAATCCTTTATAGTTTTTCGTGATTATGTAAGAACATATAGTCAAAATGACAATGTCAGATGCAAGCTATTAAAGGTGATCTGTGACAAACCATGAAAATGAAACTTCTTCCTAGTAGAAACTGAAGAGAAAAAAAAAAAATAAAGTGCTTTCTAATATTGAATAATAAAAGGGAACTAGAGAGCTCTAAAAAATAGATTCTTATATAAAATTAGATCGATTATATAGCTAAGTCATTTTTGCTGTTAATTCTTCTAAAAACTGATGCAATTAACATATATATTTAGATATGTTTGCCCTTGGACAATGTTAAATCCTAATGTTAACAGAACACAAAAGTAACCTAAATTTTTAATCCTCTGAAGTTGTCTTCTCACTAATACAGATTTAATGAGATTGGTTTAATGTAAAAACAGAAATATGAATACCTCAAGGATTACTTCTGGATATACTTACACTGTAAAGGATCTTTTCACTCACTCATTCAGCAAATTATGACTCTTACAATTGCCTGCTGGTGGTTAACACATTGACAAAAGGGGATTCAAAGTGTCAAATCTTATGAAGAAAAGCGAAAAGAAACCTTCACCATCAAAAAGTCACATCAAGAATTTTAAAAATTCATTTCTGAAATGTTAATGGTAAAAATCCAGGATCTTAATATTGATGTGCAAATGGAGGATTCTCCTATCATAATTCTAACAGAACACTCATCTTAGAACCTTGTCCTTTTTGACTTTCCTTTATTCCAGGCTGAAAGAGATCATCCATAAGCTTTATTGACTGAGTTTACTAGCTGTCAGAACTTGAAATGAAATCTGTGTTCACAACAAAGTCTGAAACCAGAATATATAATACGTTTATTCTAAATCTAATGATACATTTTTGTTGCTTCCTTCATAATAAAAGATTAGCGTAACTTTTGGCTGGTCTTTGGCTGAAGGTGAATTAGCAGGTGAGATAAATTGACCCTCTCACAATTATCATGCATGCATGCATTCACTCACATGTTATTCAATAGTTTTATGTGTGCAATTATGCTAACAATTTCTGATTCCAAACATTTATTCCTAGTCATGAGGATGATTGTATTATAAGATTTGCCTGTAAAATATACTAAGTTTTTTCCATACAATTCAATGTAAAGGAAATTTCTGCCTCCTCTGACATTAATTTTGCCCAGGTGTAATTTTGTCTCATTTCAAAAATCTAGCTAAAATGATGCCTAAATATGTTGAGGAAATGAAAGTGCTATTCTGTAACTTTTAAGCTTTTGTATTAGTTCTTGCAAGAACATTTACAACCAGTTCAGACCCACTTGAAGGTGTATGGGTGCTCTCATTGGATGTGCTTACTGTAGAATCCTGTGAATAACGCAGCTATGTAGGAACAGTAAATTGCAATAGCTTAGATCAAAGGACTGCTGTGTATAAAATCTGGTATACCCACTGGCTTCTTGTTCCTATATTGCTTTGACATTCTAGGAAAATAAGTATTGGACTTAATTTGTCCTAACTGTATGCAGACTAAAGAAAATTTTTAGATTTCAGACTATCTGAATTCAGTAAGTCATCCTCACTGAGAAATGTCAAACCTGATTTTTCTCATCGGGCATATAAAGCAATCTGCCCACCCCCTCTTTCAGCTTTACATGCAGCTCTAAACAAATAGGCATTCTGATGGAAGAGATCAATGACTTCAGATGATACACAATTTTATGTCTTTATAAGGCATGTTTCTACACTGAAACATAAAAGCTCCATTTAAAAAAATTAGCATTTTGCTTTCAGAGCAATATTACAGGCATTTATTATAAATAAACAGAATTCATTTGAGACACTGACTTTTCAAATGAAAGGATTAAAATAATCCCAACATTAAAACCAAACCAAAAGCATTTTATCTTCTCACATCTTTATTATGTATTTTATAATCCTACCTCCATAATCACTCTTGTACTTTTAGATCACAAATTTGCCTTTAAGTTACACATAATACACTTAAGGCAGATTTGTCTTACAGGTGGCCTCAGCTTCTAAACACCACTACACTGCTTTATACAAATAACAAAAATCACATAGAAGAGAACCTAGTGACATCTTTCTTGGTACTTTAGATTTAAAAACTGTATAATAAGTTGAGTTTCCATAAAATTTCACCCTTGAGAGAGGAAAAAAATAATACTACTATTTTATAGTTACCTTTATCTGATTTGATTGGATGCAGTTATAATAGTATTAATAACATAACCTTTAAGTTTGTGGGGAAAATCCAATATTCACTCCTCATCAAAGGTTCAACAGCAAGCATAATGAGAAGCCATTATAAAAGCATATTGCTAAGTATTACTTTAACTCATAATTCTGCTTATATAAGTGTATGCATATCACAGTTAACAAATACTATTTAATTATCAAGACATATGCAAAAGTATTATCTGATTGTATTCATAGCAGGCAGCTAGACAGCATTAAAGTCTCCTTCTCTGATCTTCTGATCATTAGTACAAACTGAGAATTTTGAAAGTATTTGGTGATCCCAGTCTTTGGGGGAGGATTAGTAACACAAAACCTCCATGAGAACAACGGGCTCAGGTGGAAGACTTTGAAGACTAAAAGGCTTACAGTTAAGGTAGAGTTATCATTAGTAGATATTAGGGAAATAGGAAAGCAACCAGAATCACTCAATTTATTTATTAGAAAGCAAGATTCATTAAATCATTTCTTTTAGAAAAATATCTTTAAATTTTATATTTTCGAATGTTCTTTTTTTAAAGAACATATAAAATTGAGATATTTGTGAAAATAAACGTTTCGAATATACTTTTCCCCTTTCAACGGAATTCTTCTCATCAAGCACAAACGTCTTTAAAGCAAGACAAACTCTTCTGTGCTAAATCTTTTTAATCGTTTCTTTTCATCCTCTGAAAAAAGGTCTTCCTCATTGGTTGTAGTCGATGTGAAATCATAGTCTCTGGAATGACCATTTACAAAAGTAAATAAGGGATATTTCTCCTTAGAAGAAAATTGCAGCATCTGTAACAGAAAGTATAGTAGAATCCCTTATTGGATGCAAGAGTGCACACTAAGACCACACAACAAATCTAATGTTTTAGCCCTGAACCTCTCCTGTTAGCTTCTTTCATTTACATTCACCCAGTGCTATTCCTTTACCTGTTCTGGCTAAAAGACAAAAAATGATTAGCATTGTATTGTTTATTTATAGGTAAATGTATGCTTCTTCATTAGGACTGAATCCAAAAATTAAGTATATGCTGACTCTCACCTCCCAGTTCCCCAAAATGTTCTGATCACATTAGTTTGAAGAAATACTAGATGGTTAAGTTGTAATTTACATTCTTCAGGTAGTAACAGACAAAGAAACAAGATGATACCACTGATTATGGTAAAATATTGTAAAAGAGTGTTTGGTAATCTAAGCACTAAACCAGAAGGTCCATTCTAACCTCCGTTCTGTAGCTTACCTTGATGTGACCTTGGACAAGTCACTCTACCTGAGTAACATCTATAAAACAGGGCAATCACTGCTTGGCCTTTTGGCTGAGATCAAGTATATAAAAACAGAGAATTCCCCACCTCAGAGAATTAAGATCAAAAGCAATAATATGAAGTTATTTTTTAAAAATAACTTTGGTCTTTTCAAATATTTTATTTTTAAACATATTTTAAATAAACGATTTCTACAATAATCTAGTCAACATGAGAAATAGTTTTATCACACCATAATAATCCACATTTTACACATTACCTTCTAAAGTTGCATTACATACAAAAAAAAAGCAATACCTAGAACTTTGTGAGGATACCCACAACCTTTATAGCTCATCAATTTGGGATTCACAAGTATAATATACACAATTTTAAATCTTTCTGTTAAACGAGTTCTATTGAAAAATTTAAATGATTTTCATTAAAAACTAAATTAAACATCTTGAATAAAGGATGTTTTAACAAAAATAAATTTTCTTCTTCTTTTTTTTTTGGAGACGGAGTTTCGCTCGTTACCCAGGCTGGAGTGCAATGGCGCTATCTCGGCTCGCTGCAACCTCCGCCTCCTGGGTTCAGGCAATTCTCCTGCCTCAGCCTCCTGAGTAGCTAGGATTACAGGCATGCACCACCATGCCCAGCTAATTTTTTATATTTTTAGTAGAGACGGGGTTTCACCATGTTGACCAGGATGGTCTCGATCTGTTGACCTCGTGATCCACCCGCCTCGGCCTCCCAAAGTGCTGGGATTACAGGCATGAGCCACCGCGCCCGGCAAAAATAAATTTTCAGTAGGTAATCAGGACCACAGGGATTCCAAAAGTTACTATGAAATTTTCAGAGAATGCTAAAAAGAATACAATTATTTATATACATCATAATCACTGTCAATTAAATGTAATTTGTTTTTAAAAGATAATTTCAGAGGTAAAACTACATTATCCCAAATGTCAACATTCAACTGAAGGATCATCAAATTCTTATACATTACATTTATAGATTCTCTTGAAACATGGCCAGATAGGCCTAGCATATGATACAAAATTAAAAATATTTCAATGAGATAGCTATATAAAATATATTTTAATTGAATGAAAGTGAACCATTCAAAAACAATCAAGTATTAACAAATCAGATCCTACAGTTCATATTGTGCTTATTTACACATTGCTGAAATTTATTTTATTTATATCGTACAAAAAAAGGAAGAGAGAACAGCAAAAACATGTAAAATGAAAAATAAGAGGCGGAGAGTACTGGCATCTGATTAATCATCTTTCCCCTCCAGCCAATAGCTGGAATATAGTCCAGAATTTGTTGTCATTTTTATATTCATTTAATGTCACTTGTAAAAGTCCAGTATCTAACGGGCAGGTATCCACACATCATTTTCAGATCCACACAGCAGAGTTAACATTATCATCTCTTTATCCTTTCTTTCAAGATTAAGAAAGAAGGGCAGGGGCCCTGGAGTTTGGCCTTGGGGCCGCCCTCCAAAAAAAAAAGAAGTTATTTGAGTTTTAATACAGGACAGAGTTGCTCATCAAAGTTAAGATTCAAATCTGTGCCCCAGGTGGAAAAAAGTGGCAGTAAGGAAATCACTACCCTTTAATTTAAAAATGCAGATGGGGCGCGGTGGCTCACACCTGGAATCCCAGCACTTTGGGAGGCTGAGGTGGGTGAATCATGAGGTCAAGAGATCAAAACCATCTTGGCCAACGTGGTGAAATCTCATCTCTACTAAAAAATACAAAAATTAGCTGGGCATGGTGGCACACACCTGTAATCCCAGCTACTCGGGATTATGAGACAGGAGAATCACTTGAACCCAAGAGGCAGAGGCTGCAGTGAACTGAGATTGCATCACTGCACTCCAGCCTGGCAGCAGAGTGAGAGTCATCTCAGAAAGAAAAAAAAAAAAAAAACCCAGCATCTACTTTTTGCAAATCTTCTTGCAATATAAGGTCTCCTTATGCACAACATTTATTGATTCAGGCTTGGTGAATTATTTTCCAAACTTTCCTGAGTTTCTTTAAAATATTTTTAAAGATTATCAAATTAATGTATTAAAATTTACCCAAATTAGTTGAAAATTTATGTCCACATAAAATCCTGCACATGGATGTTTGTAATAGCAGCTTTAGTGATAATTTTATTCTGAAAACATTAAAATGTGAAAAGTTTAGTGTTCTTTTTTATATTACAAGAATGGCTACATTGTCAAAACCTTAAAAGTCCTTCCATAATGGATGATATAAAATCCAAATTTAAAAATCCAATTTAAGCCATCCACGTGACATGGAGATATTATACAAAATACAAGTCAATCTAAATTATTTAACAACTTAGAAAAATGTTTATTATAAAATCCTAAAAGAAAAAACAAAATATAAAGCTATAAAATTTAGTTTCAATTATGTTAAAATAATTTCAAATACATATTTTGGAAAGACTGAAAGGAAATATAACAAAATATTAAGTTATCTCTGAATAAAACAGTGATGTGTGTGTGTGTGTGTGTGTGTATACATATACATATACACACACACTTCTATTTTCCAAGCTTCTTTATTTTTTGAAACAGACTCTTGCTCTGTCACCCAGGTTGGAGTGCAGTGGCACGATCACGGCTGACTGCAGCCTCAACCTCCTGGACTCAAACAATCCTTCCACTTTAGGCTCCCGAGTAGTGGGACTACAGGTATGTATTATCACACCTGGCTAATTTTTGTATTTTTTATGCATATGGGGTCTCACTATGTTGCCCAAGCTGGTCTCAAACTCCTGAGTTCAAGTGATCAGCCCACCTCTGCTTCCCAAAGTGTAGGGATTACAGACATGAGCCACCACGACCAGCCTATTTTTCAAACTTTCTAACATGTAATTCTTCTATTATGGAGTAGGAAAAAACTATCATTTTTTAAAAAAGTTTAAGATAACTGAATTAACCATCTCATAGTTGTTTTTTAAAAGGGAATTCAGTGGTTTGCTCAACAACTTTAGAAGAGGCAATTCTAAACTCTGTTCTATTGTAATAACACAGCTAAAGCTACACTGAAGCTGCTTTATTATCTAAAAGGCAAATCATAGATTTCAGAAGATCAAATATTTTATCACACCTTTCCTATGGACTGAGTTGACAGGTTTCAGAATTTACAAAGGCAAAAGCTGGAGGACAGAAGTTAAGCAATTTATACCATAATAAAGATACTACTTGGTAGGACAGAAATAGAACCAGGAGACGACCTCTTCTCCTCAAGCCAAAACCTCTTCCACTAGTCCCTGCCACCATATATGTAGAATTATACCCAGTACAGGGCAGTCTATACCTATACAGCATATATTCACCACACTAGAGCTACACCCTATGTCGGGGTTAAGTTCTAAGGTCAGGCCACATTGCAAAATCAAGCATTGTCAAAAATCACCTATAACAGAATTGTTTAAAGGGTGATACGTATAATCTTGTGTATGCAACCCTGTTCAGTAATATGTATAAATGTAAAATACATAGTAACGCAAATAATACAGTCATGTGCCACATAATAACATTAAATCAACAAAGGACCACATACAATAGTGGTCCTGTAAGATAATAATGGACCTGAAAAATTCCTATCGCCTAGTGTTGCCACAGCTGTCATGTCATTCCACAATGCATCATTCACAAGTTTGTAATGATGCTGGTGTAAACAAACTGATTGTATGGCAGATAAAATTATGTACAATATATATTTGATAATAAATGACTTATGGATTTAAGTATCTACTGTACAATACTTACTATTGTTTTATAGTGTACTTGTTTTACTTATCAAAAAAAGAAATTATCTGTAAAACAGCCTCAGGCAGTTGCTCTAGGAGGCACTGCAGAAGACAGCACTCTTATCGTAGGAAATGACAGCTCCACGTGTGTTACTGTCCCTGAAGACATTCCAGTGGGACAAGATGTGGGGGTAGAATATAGTAGTACTGATGATCCCGACCCTAGGTAGGCCTAAACTAATGTGTATGTTTGTGTCTTCATTTTTAACCAAAAAGCTTAAAAAGGAAAAAAGTTAAAACTTTTAAAAATAGAAACAAATCTTATAGAATAAGGAGAGAAAGAAAATAATCTTTGTAGAGCTTTACATTATGTTTGTGTTTTAAGCTTAGGGCTTATAAAAGAGTCAAAAAGCTAAAAATAATTTAAAAGTTTATAAAGATAAAAGGTTAACAACTGGACGCGGTGGCTCATGCCTGTAATCCCAGCACTTTAGGAGGCCAAGGCAGGTGGATCACGAGGTCAGGAGATCGAGACCATCCCGGCTAACACAGTGAAGCCCCGTCTCTACTAAAAATACAAAAAATTAGCCAGTCCTGGTGGCATGCACCTGTAGTCCCAGCTACTGGGGAGGCTAAAGTAGAAGAATCACTGGAACCCGGGAGGTGGAGGTTGCAGTGAGCCAAGATTGCACCACTGCACTCCAGCCTGGGTAACAGAGCAAAACTGTCTCAAAAAAAAAAAAAGTTGCAGTAAGATAAGATTA